TTCTCGCTCGGCTATGTGCCGCGCGGGAGCGCTCGCCAATTTTTTTCTTGCCTTTTCGCTCGGCTATGTGCCTATTTTTTGTGTAATGTCCAAACAAACCCGCACTTTCCATTCCCGCCCTCCCCTTGCCGGCCTTGAGCTCGAAACACGTTCAGGCAGATCAGGTCGAGGCGGCCTTCCGGGACCCTCACAATCTCCCCCTCAAAGGAGACCTTTTTGTACTTGGCCCAAGGCAGCTTGCCGCCAAGGAGTCTGTCCTCGTCCTCAAACCCGTCCAAAGGACTCGGGTCACTGCTGCTGGAGTTGCACAAGCAGCACGTGCAGGACTTAGCGAGGTGGTACGCAACCCGGAGCTTGGTGCTCGCCACAGTGGTTGCCGTGCTTCGCTCCTCGGTGCCCTTGTCATTGTCCTCGTCCACATCCACAGGCTCCGACATGCCCTTCACGTTCGCAGGCCACTACGAAGCTACGTAGGTCTCTGGAAGCCAAGCTGGCACACACAAAAGTGGCTCGGGAATCGGACTCATGCACACAGTTGCCCAACGTCTGCAGACATACAACCGTAAATTTATTACGATTTTGTGGAATATGGAAATATAATGTTTTGATAGTTTTTATGTTTTGTTCTATCTTTATAAGTTTTGTTGGATGTTTTGACGAATGTTTCGCCGCAACTTTTAAAGTAGAGAAACACCAGTTTAAAGTAGAGAAACAAGGTTTTAAAGTAGAGAAAGCATATTTAAAGTAGAGAACAGTTGTTGCGGCAATTGTTTAAAACATTGCGGCAATTGTTTAAAACATTCTTATAAACATTCAAAAAGTTCTTTAAAATATAGCAAGTATTTTACTTTATCCCAAAACTTTCCAAACGCATTCGCGTCACACGCGCGTCAAATTCGCGTCACATTCGTGTCAAACTCGCGTCAAATTCGCGTCAAATTCGCGTCAAATTCGCGTCAAATTCGCGTCAAATTCGCGTCAAAGTCGCGTCAAATTCGCGTCAAAGTCGCGTCAAAGTCGCGTCACATTCGCGTCACAGCACTGCAAACAGTAGCACGCACTCCACACAGTCAGGCCAGACATGTTGACATTCGATCCACACAGAAGCCGCAACCGTCACGAGTTGCTGTCGCCGATCCTTTTAAAGCTTGCCACAAGCACTCGCTGCAAGAACTGCGCAGAGGCGGTGAGACCCTAAAGCGACCACGGCCAGGCGGCCAGAGGCCTCAAGCCTAAAGGCTTAAAAGAAAAGGCCTGTGCTGGGGCTGCAGCGTCGACCGGAAAGCGACCACGGCCAGAGGCCTGTGCTCCGGCTGCAAGAAAGCCACGACGGCCAGAGGCCCCAGAGGCCCAGACGCGTGTGGTCACGCTGCAGCGTGGCCCACTCGAGCATCCAGCTCAGCCTCAGACAGGCCTTGCTCGAACTGCTGCAGCAGCCAGCCGCCCTGCGAAATATGGACAGAGCGAGGACATTTCCCCCAGTTCTTGTCTTCTAACCCGGCCACGAGCCAACGCTTCAACCTTAAGATGCACTCTGTATCGGGGATGCGGGCAGAGCCGCTCCCGAAGTTGATCGTTTTCCGGCATGGCCACACACGCGTGCCGTCATCGTGATGGCGGCCGCAGGTCGCGCGCCAGCCGATGTGCACGTTATCAGCAAAGAGCGGTGCAATTTGAAATGCAGGTGCATCCCCCCACGCTGTGGCACGTGGCACGCGCTGCTGAAGGGCACCAGACCGTTCTCGAGGAGCCGCACCAGGTGCCGGGTCTGTCGAAGACGATGCTCGCTCAGAGCCAGCTGCAGGCGCCTCGGTTCCAAAATAAGGACGCACATTGAAGGTGTGACACTAATTGTGGTTTGGACTTATATAAGGCTAACGAGTACAAGAACTCACAGCGCGCGCGGGGCAGCAGCGGTTCGAATACAAGGGAGCGGCAAGCAACGACTAGGTGGCGATCGGTGCACGCAAATAAAAAGCAACGGCCCCGGGCTGAACCTTCCCGAACTACTTGAAATCTGAAGCTGCGGTAGCATGCAAAGCCCAAACTATACAACCCGACACACCTGATTGTATTCAATAACCTAAACTCAGATGATGCCAAAACATAAGCCATCGCCTGAAGCCCTAAACGGTCTAAACGCCGTCGGCCCTAATGCCCGTGTACCCTATCTCTTCGTCTTCATCTCTGGGGCCCGCTTATAAAGAAACTACAAGCTCTAAACTCAAAACTTAAACCCTTGCCAGCCTGAATGAAACACTCCGTGCGCTCCTCATATCATATATCATGAAGCCTTTGCGCCGTATACCATGACCATGCGTATACCGTATACGCCGTATACCGTAGCAGTAAACCCTACGCCTGAGTCAGCAGCCGAACCCTTACCCCTGGAGCTTAAAATCGGCACACTTGTGAGCCTGTGATGTCTGGTAGGACCCCTCAAAACGAATTTGTTTCGGGTCGACTCTTGGACACTGCTACATACAATTACAATGTCTCAGGACTTGTGGCGGCGGCGGCTAACTATCAGACCCTCGATATCAAGTCACTATATTGCCATGAATTTGCCATTATCATCCACTTAAATTATCATTGACTTCTTCAGTCTTCAGCCGATTCAAGGCTAAATTCAAGGCACAGGCACCACAAATACGCACTTCTTGCTCCTTATAATCACAAAGTCAAAGTCACAAAAAGCAATCCTATAAGCCGTGCGTCTTCCACCTGAGTGTCTGATGCAAGCACGGAAACAGCGACATCGGCTTCGCAATCGCTGGCTTCGCGCTCGCTGCAGGAACTGCCAACGCTGCTGCATGAGGCCTCATCTGCCTCTTCGGCCTCTGGCTGCTCTTTGCTGTCCAGTGCACCGTCTGCCTCACCTTGCTTGGCAGTCTTAGGCTTCTTTGTGGGCCGAGCCGGATCTGTGTCGCGATTGCGTCTCTTGGGTGGCTTCCTTGACATGAGACGCAGCGCCTGCACAGCCGCTGCAACATCACCGGAGGCTCGCATTTCTCGATGCGCCCCGTCCGGCTCAACTCGCTCCTCACCCCGGACATCGAAGTGCCACAGCTTCCGCACAGGACCTATGTCCAGTGTGTACATGTCCCAATCCGTGGCGACCTGAAACAATCGCAAGCAAAGCGACCTGTTTGTGAAAAACACAAAAAGGTTGCCTGGAGACAGGCTGATCTTCAACGACTTGGAGATGCCCTCGGGCACATCCTCATTGTGGTCGACTTCCACTTGCAGCATTGCCGCCTCCACGGGCGATCTCCTTGTATTATAAGCTACTACAAAATATTCAGTGGTGCTGGCATGCTCTGATTTGAAGGCAAGGACCAGCGGTTCGGCTGTCGCGCTCAGCGGAGCAGGTCCCTTGTTCAGGATTGTGAAGACCAAGAGTTTGTGGAAGTTCTCTAACCCGGCTTGAAGCCTCTCAGACAAACTCTGGAAACAGGCATTGCTTCCACAGGCTGCAAACAGGCTGTACTGCGTTTCAGGCGCACCTTCCAGACTGTCCAGGTTGTCCGGCTGAAGCACATCTGTCCGATCCTTGAACTGCTTCACAAGCTCCTGCTGCCGATGCTGGTTGTCTGCAACAACGTGGCGGGCCAGCGGAAAGCCTTCTGTGGAACCAATGTTCCAAGGACCCCCTGCGAAGTCTTGCTGCTGCCCTTCAACTTCATCCGCACGCTCTGCATTTCGGCGGACGCGTGCGGCTGCATTCTGCACTTTGGCTTGTTGTTTCCACCGACTCTTCTCCTCACCAGAAAGGAGCGACCAAGCGCGCCTAGCGCGCTCAATCCGCTGCCAGCTGCCGTGTCTTGCGGCACCAGCACTATTTTCACTATTTTGCACATGGTCGCGCACGAACAAGTGCAAGCCAGTGCAAGCGACGTTTTTTCGCTGCCCCTGAATCCATCGTGGTCGATGCTTGTGAGACCTCGGTCGAGCTTGCAATCCAGCATGTATGCGCTTCTTGCGCCACGAATCAACTAGGCGGCTCATGGTTTCGGCGTAGTGCCTTGCTGCCAGCTGGCTCCCTCTCAGTTTGTGCCCTCTGGTGGATGTCCACCTTTGAAACCGAGCAAAGCACCTTTCGACGTACGTTGATGTGGGGACAACCCGGTCAAAGACCGCCTCCAGAAACGCGAGCGTTTGTTCTGATAGCAACTGATCCACCGAGGGACAAGTTTCACGCAACTTCTCGGAGAAATTGTCCAGGCAGCATCTCTTGCTCGCAAGCAAGTGTGCTGCGCATGCTCTTCTGGTCGTGTCTTCGCTGTCCAACAAGCCGAGCAGCTTCCAAGGATATCGCTGCCAGGGCTCATCAAGCTTTCGCCAAAGTTGGCCAATGATGGTGCATACAGTGCGCCGGGTGGTTCGCAACCGGGCCTGAGGCCAATCCAGCACCCGGCCGTAAAACCCTGCCAGAGGCAACCAGGCATCATTCTCGGTTGATTGCATCATGTCTGCGTAAGCAGACAGTGCTCTCCTGGTGGGCTTCGCGGCCACCATGCCGAAGGCACTGGATGCCTCACTTTCATCTGCTTGAGGGTTTCTTTTGCGCTCCGTGAGCCACGTGGAATGCTTGAACAGCGAGAAATGTATGCGCATCACCGGTGCAGTTAACACCGTCCAGCTGAGTGTGCGAAACTGAGACTCCGGATCCTTCAAGAAGATGGCTGACTTCTTCTGCCGCCTGCGGGCAAGCTTGCGCCACCTTCTCGTCTGATCGACAGGCTGCCCCACCGCAACGCCTGGATCTTCGGACTCCGACGAGTCTTCTTGCGGCAAACTGCCGAAACAAGCCTCGAAGGCTGCAGGCAACACACCACAAAAATGCTGTTGTGCTGCCACGACAGAGGCACATGGAGCCACTGTCGTCCACTTATTCAGCGCTGGAATGCTGATGTGGTGCATGAGCACCTTTTGCACGAGCTCAGCGCCCTTTTCCACGGAGTGAGCACGGTCCTGCCACAGATGGGCTGGTGGGAAATGGAAACATGTTTGTCAACAGAGTTGTAAAAAGGCGCGGTAGGGTGGGGTTGGGGGGTGGGGTGGGGTGGAATGGGATGGGATGGGATGGGACCCCCCCCACTCTTGCATGGAACGTCCTGACTTGTGATGGGTGGGTGGGTGGGGTGGGGTGTGGGGTGGGGT